CCCGACCATAAATATAAAGTGGGAGATATATGCTTGGCCATTAATCTGACTGGCCCAATAAGTAAATAAACCAAAAGAGTGCATCGCGTCGACATAATTGAATTTTTCTCTTGTTTGGCTATAAATATTCTAAGCACGTTGCACACTAAAAGAGTTGAACGTGAAACCGAGACGAACACGTCGAAGATGAAACATTCGTCAATTATGCAACGTGCATTGAACCATCTGGCGACCCTTAGGGAAAAATAACTTCTAGTGAATCGTCAGTGCATTAAAAACAAAGCTTTTTTAAACTCTAGAATTTTAGTTTTCCGTTAAGGAATATTTGCAGTAGAAACAGTTAATTCAGTTATAATCGTTAGTTGGTTGTAGTAAACTCCTGTCACTTTTAATGTGAAAAACTAACTAACTAATAACGCAAGATTGGATTGCCTACCTATTTTCGCTAGAGTTCTGCACGAGTGTAGTTGGATAACCCTTTGACTCAACCTTTCCGAAAAAACAGAACAAGTAAAACAGCTCACAAAAAGGTTATTTTCATGTCAGGGACCGTAAATAACACTGTGACAAAATTTGACCATTAAATATTTAGCTTAATGGATGCTAAAAAATCGTATTCGCTTTGATTCCCCATTTTGAAATGTGTTCGCCAAAAAATTGCCCTACACAAGGATTTTAAGAAAAAGGACCTCAAAGTTGAAAAGTGCTGGTTTTTGTTTTTTATAAGCTGCAGATTCTTGGTTTGTTAATAAAAAAATAAACAAACAATAATTTTATGATTTTTTTATTAGTACCCCCGCCTTTTATTTTTATAATTGTCTTGGTGTCATTTATCTTATACAATTCGTCCAATAGTATTATTATAATCAATAAAATTTAAACAGATAAAATTACATTAAACAAAAAAACAAACTTCTAAATATGAAGGGCGATGGCACTCCTATTATGTTGATTGCAGCTGTGTGTCTATGAAAATGTCTTCTTTCGTTTATAGCTCTCTTCAACAAATTCTACAATTATTTTGAGTAGGGGGCTTGAAAGATAAAGAGTGGCATTTTTCAAATGCTTTGACGAACTACCGATCCAAGAATTCGTTCGACTGTAATTGCGTTTAAAATATAGCAAAAACAGATTTCTTCCAACTTTGACATCCATTTTCTCTGAATCCTTGGCCAGGGGAACTTTTTGGTACGCACAGTTTAAAATTGCGATTCAAGGCGAATCAAATTATCTTACAGCCATCGGAGTAAATTTTTGATGCTAACAGTGTAAATAATATTAATATACTTTTTTCCAAGCAAAAAAAACATGGCTAAAGAACAATCCTAAAAAAAGAGGCAACTATACCAGTATATTACTAATGAATCAATTCAATATTCTGACTTTTTTTCAAATATTATTATTATTTTATTATTTTAATTTATTATTATATACTATTTGAGTTTAATATAAATAAATTATTTGTTGTGCTTTATTTAAAATCTTAAAATAATGATTATTCTATGAGTTTTATTTAAAATAAAACTATACGTTGAGTTTTATTTTTTTTGATCGAAAATAAAATTTGATTTCCAATTTCTACCTATTAAGGACCGATGCCTGTGAAAATGATCAGAAAATAACTAAGTCGACTACGGCCAACACTTTGAGATTAATGATAATTAATCTGCAGCTCCACAGCTAAATGACACCCTTATAAATCCCCTACGGCGACGGTGGATGCAAGCGCGTCATCTGCAAGATTTAGCGATCTTAAAAAAAACTGATTCTCTGATTAAGAAAAGATATGTAAAAAGCTAAGTCGGTCTTTTTACTGCTAACAAATTTGCTGATTTTTTGGTTGAAGGATTGCATATCAAGACTTAAAAAAAAAAAATTGTTTTGGGAGTAAGAGCGGGAAAGCGTAACAGTGAAATTTAAGAAAATATGATGTGTTGGGGCCCTTGGGGATAAATGCTCAAGTTCATTAGTATAGGTGTATTCTCATATAAAATACGCGTCGAATGATTTCTTAAAATCCGATGCTCCGTTCAGGGCACGCTGCAGTTCAATATGTCTGTTTTTAGTTTTACGATTTTGGTAAAGCGTGTCTAATGAGAAAAATTTAAGAAGTGTATTTTGTTTGGTAGATCGTATAATACATTTTTGTCACAAAAGTTGATATCAGAACTGTGGTTTCTTGAAGGTGTGATCGTCACAAGATTTTCACTTCGTTAGAAGGTGTTTTTGTTTGATAAAATTATAACTTCGATTTTTTAATACCCTTGCAGAGGGTATTATGATTTCAGTCAGAAGTTTGCAACGCAGTGAAGGAGACGTTTCCGATCCCATAAAGTATATATATTCGATACAGTCGATCTAGCCATGTTCGTCTGTCCGTCCGTTTCTAAGCAAGCTAGTCTTTCAGGTTTAAGCCTTTCGGGCTGAAACTTTATAAGTCGGAACCAGCCTGATCGGACAAATATATCTAATGGCTCCCAAAGGAATAATCGGAAAAAAAATTTTAAATAATTATATCTTAGGTGTTTTTTAACATACAACCTCCTACGCTTGAAAATAACATTTTATAATTAGTTCTGAATTTCGAATTTAATTTTATTATAATCGGAGGACTATATCATACAGTTGCCATGGGAACGATCGGAAAATTGGTGGGAAAATAATATGAAACAAATTATAGCTTCGGTGTTTTTTGACATGTTATCTTATACTATTCGGAATATAATTATTTTGTATTTTTAAGAATTTCGAATTAAATTTAATAATAACTGCAAGGGTATACAAACTTTGGCATGCCGAAGTTAACTTCCTTTCTTGTTTCGTATTAAATTATACCCTCGGGAATATCATTCTTATATTATATCAAAATTTGGAATAAAACAAGAGAGGAAGTTAACTTCGGCAAGCCGAAGTTTGTATACCCTTGCACGGACATGGCTAAATCGACTCGTCTAGTGATGCTGATCAAGAATATATATACTTTATGGGGTCGGAAAAGTCTTTTTCACTGCGTTGCAAACTTCTGACTGAAATCATAATACCCTCTGCAAGGGTATAATGAAAGAATCTTACGATTATATCATATAGCTGCCATATGAACGATCAAATGATTAATGGGAAAATAGAGAAAAATAATTATTGCTTTTTTATTTATGATCATATTCTCCTTTACTTCAGCATGAAGCATTATTTAATAATTAAGAGTTATGATTTCAATTAAAGAAAAATCGGATTACTATAAAAAGGATCGGAAAATTAATGTCATAATAATACAAAAACCGTTACTAGTAAATTAATTTGGAATATTATTTAAATATTTCTGTAATTATTTTTTAGTTTTCTAAAAATCGGAAAGGTCTGTACATGCATTGCTCCCATAGGAACGACCTGCAAGGGTATAGAAACTTCGGCATGCAGAAGTTACGGAAGCTAGCTGGTTTTCGAGATGTTTTTAAGTGTTTAACTAAAATTAAGATTGCGGCTCTAAAAAGAAACTTCGGTAACATGCTCAGATTGTTTCCCGAAGTGATGTTTTGAAACATATATACAGTTGCCATTAGTGACTCGTATGTTTCGTTTTGTGAGTAAGATCACAGCTGAGATCGAAATTCATGCAGGGCTCTATTAAGCATGCAGATTTTAGAGATTCTGACGCAACGCAGTGGCACTTAATGTTTTAATGCTCGGACTGCTGATTTTCTTACAGTGAGCTGACATTTTCCATATGCCCGCTAAATGAGAGGCTACGGTCCTCTGATGTCGAATATTGCTAACACCTTTTGGTGCTGAAATATAAAATCTATCGCCTCTGATAGCCTTCAACCAGTAAGAAAATTTTGTCGAATGGCTCATTTAAGAGCGAATCAGATACCGCCGGAAATCACCAACAATTCGGACATTGGTCGCCCATAACTTGTGCACTTGATCTTGCACCCTGATCTTTGTGAAGAATGGACATATTTTGATGTCAAATGGATTTATACATGAAGCGTTTCCATTTTTTCCCTTCACTGAACGCTAATTTGCATACATTTCCCTCGGAACCAAAAAATTCTGGCACTTTGTAACTTTTCTTCCTCTGGTCTAGTTTGTAAACATTTGTTGTGCAGATTTATGGCTGGATATGTGGAACCGCATTACCACGTGAGCGAAGCTAAAAATAAAAAACCAAGCCAAAAAAACTAAAGAGAGCAGAGGATGGAATTTGATTTAAGGCCTTACACTGCATGTAGGATGTTTTCATATTGGATATGCTCCGTGCATGTGCATATGCCACTACCATATACCCTATAAGTTGAAAATAAATATACTACATTGTTATTAGTTATATAAAATTACAAAAACTGTAATAGGGTATCGAAAATTAAATAAAGCCTTGTACCTTATACATTAAAGACGCTGAGTTTAACAATTTCTTTCCTTTCTTCTAGATTAGGATTTTATTATTTCATGAATTGTGTACTCATAAATGTACCTGCGAATACGGTAAGGGTAAATCCCTTAAATCCAAGCCGCGTAATTGCTTGTTTGGCAAGTGTAAGTTACACTATTGCACATTCGGCTAGACATTGTGGCGCAATGTAGTTCAAGGCAGCAGTTTACTTAGCCTATAACTCTTGTGCTGGGATTTCCTCCACCTTAAAAGACCTACCTGCCCAGAGCCACCCTGCTTCCATTCTCATTCTGGGCACTCACTTAGCAGAGCATTTTCACCTGCGATGCGTTTATAATGGAATACGGGAAGGTATGAAAAGCTGCGAGCGACACATCGCGTATACGCCACGTTGTGCATAGTAGTTTGGAGGATGAGCAGGTGGGCGGGTGAAGGAGCATTGCGTGTTTGTTTTTTGCGTATGCATATTCCACTTGCTGGCTTTCCTGCTTTTCATGTTGTCATTCATTTGTTTGACGACTTTTGTTTGCTGGCAATCAGCCAAGGCTAATAAAAGAACAAAATAAGCCAAATAAAACGCTTCAACAACTAGTTTTAGTTGAATTGTGTTGACTAAATACCATTTTATTTTATTTAAGGTTCCGTCAGTTAGATTAAATTGAGAACTCTAGCCTTGTGGTTCCTGAGAAAGGGAAAGTAATGGAAATTGATTGAACTGTGTGGCTAGAGACTCTTTGTGGGAATTAACAAAGTATTTTAGGTAGGTTTACTATTCTTGCCAGCTTTCCTAGTAGTCGACGGTGACTTGGGAACAGCGGAGCCAGTGGGACTCCTCTGTTTGGAAATTTCATCGGTCTGCCTGGAAAACACGAAGCGATGATACTGTTTGGCCAAATTTGAGCACTGCAGAGGTTCGTTGGGATACCGTTGATAGCAGTGTATCAGTTCCTCCTCGAACTTTCCGATCTCGCCTTCACAGTCCTTGGCCCATTTTACGGGCCTTCCAAAGAGGTCCTGAACTCGCTGCAAGGACTTTCCGAACTCAGTTTCCTCAACCTCATGGGAGCGCCTTTTCCAGGACTTGGCTACTTTTACAGGATGCATATCCTGCACTTCATTTGGTTTGTGTTCCATGGTAGTGGGAGAATCGGAACGCGCTTCTGCTGTGGGCCCTTGACTGCATTTTTCGCAGATGGTAGTCCCCTGTTTAGTGGATTTGGTGGTGGCCTGATCGATCCTATGCACCACATCCCGAGTAATCTCAAAGGGCATAGGATTTGCCATCTGCACAGTCTGCGGCTTGCTGTTGCTGGCACCCATTTTGTAATATTTTCTGAGAGCTCGCTTCGACTTTTCAGTTTATATTTATTGCTCCTTTATGGAGTGACAGATAATTTGAAATATTTGACCTCAAATGCGAAGCCTTACCTTTGGTTTCTTCCCTAAACCGTTCGTTCTATCTTTTTTGTAATTAATACGACTCAAATGCATTCGACCAACAAAAAACTTAATTTCCTAACTTTTTTTAGTCGGCCAGCTGTCAGATTAAAGCATTTTGGCTGTACAAGTATTCAACATGCTGAGTGTCGATTTGTTTAGTCGAACTGTTTATCATTTTGGTCAAAAAAATGTATACGAATGTAACGATTTGGATTATCTCGTAGTGCTCGTAAAGTGGGTCACTAAGATCTAAGCTTGAGACACAAACAAAGAAGGCTTAGATTTTTTTTAAATTCATGCCAAATTTTACTTGTTGCATTTATTTTTACACGATGTTTTGATTTCATATTTAACATACGTCATAAAATTTCTCATATAGGATACCTCCGATGTCGACTAAGTTGTTAATTAGGACACTCTTTGTCATATATTCGGATCTGCAAAGCGGCGTCAACTTTTAATATATTAATACAAATTGGGTCATTGAGTTCTCGTTGAGAAGTGCAATCTCGACTGGCAGCATCACTAGCACCATGAAAACTATATATAGTTAAACAAATATATATCAAATATTACCTTCAATTATCCATGCCCCACAAGGAGTGTTTTGAGTGTTTTAAAATATCACAAAAAGTAGAGAATTTAAAAAAAATGAAAAAACGATTACTCGTTTAACACAAGATTTCGCTTCAGAAAAAATTACATTAAAAATCTCGTGAGCGACCAATGTCCAATTAATTCCTAATTCTTCAATTAATGGCGTTCAAATCTTAAATTTTTAGTGTCGTCTCTTAGAGTTTTAATGTGTCTAAGTTAGCCGTTTAGCCGCTAGGGTCAAAAACTATTCTTGACCGTTAACTATATCTGCCCCCTTTCCCCTACATGCTTTTTAAAGAATAAACTTAAAATAATGAACAGGAAAAAAATGTGTTTCCTCTAACTTTAAGACCCTGTAACTCGAATATTCAACTTGGCAGATGGAAGTTCGAAGCTCGATCGACTTGACTAGCTGACTGGGTTAAAATGTAAGCAAGTTGTAAAATATTTTTACCACCTTTGCCCACTGCACCACGTGTTCTGCGAAGTTCATTGTTTTTCTGCTGAATAAGAACGAAATTGTAACTGTGGCAACCATATAAGGTTGCAGCTTCTGGCACGTGCCCCTGTCATTAGCCCCTCCTCACCTCAACTAACACTCGTTTGCGGCATCGTAATTGTGCTGTCAATCATTTTGCATATTTGCACAGATCCAACAACAAATTTATACGGGCTAAAAGATAAATAAAATGAAATAAATTTGTGATGGTCAAGCGGAAGCACAGTAAAATGTAATGGGAAATGAATTTAAATATATGCAAAATGAGCTCAACGAGGATGCTGAATGTATGGGTGCTGGAAAATGACAAATCATGCGAAATGGCTGAGAGGTCGCACTAACTGAATAATATTTATTGATTGTTGATACTCGATTGCTCGTGAGCAATTTACACAGCAGCCAATTAAATGATTTGGCAGAAAGGAAGGAGAGATTTTCCGAATGCCAATTTGGCATAGGAATGTTTCATCAATTGCTCAAAGTCAACGGGCAAAACGATTAATTACCAGCGCCAAAAATCTTCTTGTTTTAGGTATTTCGAATGGCGGACCAAGCACACATTTTTAACATTAAACAAATTTTCAAGGGAATAAACTATTGAGGATGATGTGATTGCAGACCATCGGCTGGTATACGCCATCCAATGCTTTAAAGCAGTGGTCGGCAGCGGCCTATCTAGTGAGCATAGGGAAGTGTTCTGCCCATCCTCTGCTCGCTCACGTATAACGTACATGTTTGTGTGACTTCGGCATGGGTCTTCGGGTAATTTTTTTCTCAACTTCGGCTCGCTTTTTTGTTGCTGCGGCAGAGGATCTCAGTGCAAAGCAGAGAAACGTCTCGCTTCAGCACGCCGCGCGCAAACTTCGTGTTTGTTACACTCACACTAATGCAAGGCAAACTTGTGATGGTATGTGTGTGCCGACCACTGCTTTAAAGAGTCGAAAAAGCTTAAATCTCCAAGGCAGGTGATATCTTAGCAAGAAATTGTGTACTTGTATGAGATTATAATGTATTCATTTTTTACAGTCCGAAAGTAAGATTTAGTTAGTTTATAAGACAAATGGAAAGCTGATTGAATTTAAAGTGTTTGCAGAAAATCTATAAATCTACATGAGCAAAAAAATAGAAATCGGTATCAGCCCCGGGAAAGATATATGCTAATACTAAATAAAGCATGAAGACAATGATGGAGTGGTCAAAATATTTAAGCTATTTGGTGTCCGAACAAAATAAAGACTGTGTTGATTGAGTTTTTTTACGTATGTATCTAGTAAGGGCGCTGATCAATTGCCATATGAGAGATCCGGATTTCTCATCAATATTAAATGCTTTTGTACATTGCCTGCTGTTTTTGAATAAAATAGATCTTTAGAGAAACATGGTACGAAAATAAACTCAATGGATGTACATAACATCGACCGAATTAAAACCACAAGCTGTAATAAACAATAGGAGATCAGAAAAGTGTTTTTATGGGACAGATTAAAGGGACGAAACGTAAAAATGCATTCCAATTTTATTACGAAATTAAATTACCCATATTTAATAAGTAACAGCGCATTTTGATTTGCGGTTAGCCATAGACTTTGCCAAAGGTCTTGATTTTTATGCCATCCCCTCTGAATCCCTGCACACTTTCCACAGCAAAGTTAATGGCTTACAGTTGAGCCAGGGGCATCATAACCTCTGTGCCTGTTGCTGACAGGCCCTCGAATGCGGCTTAAACACCTTGGTGGCAGAAGAGCGACAAAGAACCAAATTACCTCCAGGTAATCAGCGGCAGTTTACGTTTGTTCGGCCCACTAAACTTATACGGCCGGTCCACTTATCTTGTGAATTTATCTGCGAACCGCACGGAAGATGACTTTCGCTCCGTCTTAATGACAGCTGGTCTGATAGCAGGATCTGGGCCTGAGGCCGGCATATTTGCAGCGCGTCCTTTATGTCTCATTAAAAATTTACGCACATCAGGAGCAGCAGTGGCAAAAAGCTTAATAGTTTAATTTCCCGACAGGAGACCCAAGTCCTCAGAATGGGTCAAATGAAAAAGGTAGTTGAAAGGTAAAAACAAAAGGTAACCAAAATAAAGAGAAACGGCCAACATTTGGTTTTAGGTTTCTTGGTAATAAATCTTCTTTTTCTGCTGACATGTGAGTAATCATGTGCGAGTGGGGTTGGGTCCCTGAAAGTAGGTAAAAAGAGTGAGAAACAGGAAGGGGTTGGGGTGTCTGACTTTACGTTCCTTTTTCCTGACTGCCCTTAGATTCCTTAGGTTTGCGTGTTCTACATTTTAATACTGTTTGCTTTTCGATGAGGTTTAAAGAGGGAGTCAAGAGAATTGAAAAAATACATTTTTAATTACGTAATCAGTGCTATGTCTTTTACATTTTTATGCTTAGCCCGAAGTATGCTTGTACGCTTTGCTACGGTTTCCGTTTCCCCTTTCTTTCGGTGGACCTAATTTACTCAGCCTTACACCACGCAAAATACATAAATCGCTTTTAAACATTTTTAAAAATTACATTTTCTTTGTTAAGAGTTCTGTTTTCCTTGCACTTAACTTACGCATTGTTGTCTTCATTAAATAAACTGACCAATACATTTACCTTAAAAAATTAAATTCTATGGCCATAGTATCTACTATGAATAAAACATTTATACTAATAATAATCATTTGTAACAGACATTCATCCGTCTTACTTACTTGTTCTAGATCTACAGATTTTTGTGAGTTTCTAAATCCATGTGGTGCACAACAATATTAGTTTTTCATTATTAACACGTACTATTTTTTCATGATTTTCATTAACACACTCAGTGGTTTTACTCATTACTCCACATTTTTAACTTTTAATAAGCTACAACTGCATATATAACTTTACTGCTTTTGCAATAATAACTTCAACCTAAGCCCGCATATTGCAATCGTTCTGCAACGCCAAATGTAATTCTTAAGTTTTTGTACATTCGAGTATTTTACTTATATTGTATGCTATATTTTACGATTGATTTCTGTATTTCTTTTTTTTTCGGTGACACCTAAAGTTTTGTTATTTCACATTTAATTAATGAAACTATTTATTCTGCTCGAGTACTTTTAGTTGAGGAGAGCGCTTTGGAACGAACGCATCGCGGCAAAATTTCAAAACAAACTGATTGTGTGAATTTTCCGAACTGGTCCATTGAGTCAGAAAAGCAAGTGGAAAACAGCAGCAGCGACTTCGTAGTCGGCATCATCTCAATTTGCTCTCTTCGGCGCTCCATTCGCGAACCGCTCTCTTGTGCTGAACAGTGGGAAATTTTCATGGTTTTGTTTGGGAAATTTAGCGTGGAAATGCTGCTGTTTCTGCTCGCTGCGATGGGCGGGAAAAGTGGCACGTGCTTCTGCTTTTGGCCGTCAACGTCTGCTACGTGATTCTGGCGGGTCCCTCTCCTTCCCGAGTCTTGTGTACTTTATGAATGAGTTACATACACGCACACATGCCCTCAGAAGGCCAGAACTGAACGGAACAAATAATCACTGGTCGCCCACTTGACAGCCTTCTAAACAGAACCTATTTATATGTATACCCTTTCAGAAGGTATTACGATATCAGTCAAAAGTTTGCAATGCAGTGAAGGAGACGAAACGAGCCGGGTCGAACAGTCATGTTATTTAGCCGCCATATGAACGATCGGAAAAATAAGGAAACTTAATTGGTGTACTAAGAAGCTCGAGATATAAATCTTTTTTTACGACTTTTGAAAAATCCGATAGTTTGGCGGAAAGTCCAAGGAATGACACAGATCTTTAAGGCTTATACAGTCAAAATAAATTTTACCCTACATTTTAGAAAATCGCCATTAAAAATTCTTTTCTTTAAATACAAGAAAGTTATTTCTAAAGCTAGGGACATTTTTTTAAATCAAAATAGTTTTTCTTAAATAATGAAAGCTTTTTTTAAAAGTAGGTTTGAATGGTTACCATGAACTAAAATCACCCTAAAAATAAGAAAAAATGGATTTAAATAAAGAAATTATTTTATAAAAAATAGAAAGTCTGTCACAAAAATAAAATTGTTTTGCAGTTCCTTTTATAAAAATGAATAACCTAAAATTATACTCAAGCCCTAAAATGATTCTTACCCAAAAAAAATAGACAAATTTCAATCAAAAATAGAAATTATTTCTAGAAAATATAAACGTTTTCTAAAAAATAGAAATACTTTCTAAATAATAGGAACACGTGTTAATTCTTAATATTAACATTATATGTTGCGTGAGCATCACCACAATTTTATTGGAACTTGTATTCTGTTACTTGCGACTGTTTATACATATGTACACATGCATATAAGGTAATAAACCTAGGAATGGCCAAATGAATACTCCTGTTAGTTTCAGAATTTTTTTGTTTACGAAATTAAGTTCAAAGGGGTGGGAGAGATGAGCGGCAACTTATCGATAACACTCACGGTCTTTGCCCAATTCCACAATATTTAAATTAAGTCTAGGAATATATGTATAATGTTTAATGATTACTGATGAATGGGACTACAGTGTATTTGTTTATGCTGTGCTTATTATTGCATTTATTTCATTGTTATTACTCGCTGGCGATATCTGAGGAAAGCCAAACGTGAGGAAGAAAAAATATCGATAGTGCTATCAATAACTTACGATAACAAGTATGGTCGCGAACGTAGCTTTGGTCCATCTCTAAGACTTAAACCGCATGTTTTTTTTTCATTTCGCAGTTCTTAAAAGTGTTACCGATTACAAGTGAAATCGATCTTATGGATACTTAGCTCCAAAGTCTAAACTGAGAAGCGTTAGCTTCTATATTCTCGGTTAAGTAGTTTAATTTAACTAAAAATACAAACTTAGTATTAATTATGAACGCATGCTATATCTGAATTTTGGAGAAGAAAGCTTAAGATCGTTAAGCAGGGAGCAATTTAGGATGGAAATTTCGAAGGAATTAGTAGGGCAAGCGGTAGTTCTTTTCCGAGCTGCAAAATTGGAAACGCCGAGTGAGAAAATACCCTTCAGTTCTGCAGTAGGGACGCGGTGACATGGCTCAAGGCAAAAAGCTTTTTTGTTTTTTTTGTGCCTAAAACGCTGTGCCGCTGTTGACGTCAGCAGCGAAGTCGGCGCAGTGTAGAAGACTGTCTACGAAGACGATCGTGCAACAAAGAGAGACAGATATTCGGAGCTTCCCTCTCTTTCTTTGTCTTATAATCTGCCTGCACTCGGCGCTCTCAGAGACAAATTTCGGCAGGTCCGTTATTTCTTTTGAGTCTCTCCTTTATGTTCGGCTAGCGACTAATGCGGAAAAATTTTCGTGGCACAGCGACATGTGAATGCCCTAATATTTTAGGAGCATTATTGTATATCGAAAAAAAAACAACTAATATTGTTTTATAAAAGTAAATTATTTGATTATAGTAAATTTAATTTACTTTTAATGTTATGCTTACGTATTATACATTAATATTACAATATACTTTTTTAGTTAAATTATAGAAATTTAGTTCGTTAAAATTTATTTAAATATTTAAAACATTTTAATAGTACCATTTTTAAAGAATTCATTTTGTATTTTTTACTCAAAAAAGTAAAAATTATGTAGTCTGATATTTTTCGCTTTAGAAAGGGTATAGGTGCAGTGGCACGCGCCAACTGCGAAGAGAAAACAAAAGAAAATAAATAAAGGGGTGAGAGGAAGACTTGGTTCATTCTGTTTGAGTTATTGAAAGGGAAGCAAGCCATTTAAATTGTGCGCAGCAGATTTACTTCTTTCGTTTTTAAAGTGAAAATAAAAAAGTCAGGTAAGTGTTACATTAAGTTGAAGATGTTGTGCATCGATCTTAGTTTAAAGTATAAAGGTATTCAATGGGTTCCGTTAGCCGAAAGTGGATGATGAAATGTTTTGCGCCAATAAAAATCCTGCAAAGGGTGAAACACAGCTCTAAAAGGTAAATATACAAATAAAAAAGTAGAACGCATTTCTAAACATATGCATTACATTTTTCAGGAGCGTTGGCCAAGGACTCCGAGGACCCGGACAAATCTTTAAGAAAGGCAATGACTAATGTTAAAAATAAACTTACCAAGCAAAAACACAGGAATAATAACTGTACAATTTTTGAAAATCTTAATAATACTGTATAATTAAAAATAATTAAAATGAAATTAAATATGTATGTATTTTAAATTCTATTTTTTATAATTGAAAACTCAAGGAAAAATTCTGATTTTCCCAAGTGATTCACTTGGGACGTGTCCCTTGCAAGTGATTTCACAAGTGAAAACTCAAGGAAAAATTCTGATTTTCCCAAGTGATTCACTTGGGACGAGTCACCGGCACGTGACAGGCCATATGAAAAATGAGTATAAGGAACAAGTGAAATCCCGTAGGACTTCGAAAAATGTTCATTTGAATTTTCACTTGTGAAAATGCGGACATCCCATACAATTTTCTATATATAAAAAAGTTTGCCACGCCCACTTAAACGCCCACAAACCGCAAAAGCCTGTGACGCCCACAATTTTTATGCTAGATAAAAAATTTTAACTGAAATGTATTGGTCTCGTCGATACCTATCGATTCATTCAAAAAAAATTTGACACGCCCACTCTAACGCCCATAACGCCGCCGGTAGGTGGCGCATTTTAATCTCGCTTTGCTGCTTGCATATCTCCATTTAGCTGAGTAACGGGTATCTGATAGTCGAGGTACTCGACTATAGCGTTCTTCCTTGTTTTGGTTAATTTTATTTTGAGTGTAGATTCTAAAAAACTAATGCTGCAGATACGTGCTACTTGGCGCGGAAAGGGTAACTCAATATTCTAGTCACGCAGCTTAAATTGGCTAAGTACAAGCGATTTAAAGTTATAGCGTTTAATTTTTAAATCTCAACTAAATTAACCCTTGAGATTCCTCAACTTTAAATACATAACACTTTTTGCAATATAAATTACCGATTGGAAGTTCTTAAGCGACAAAACTCCAACTTGTTTGAATGCGCAAGAAACTATGCAACTATATTATGTAAAAAAAATTTTAATTCCTGAGCTCCACACTTATCACTTTTGGAAAACCCGCTAGTTTGGCGAAAAATAAAAAAAATTTTTTTTTAATTTGGAACTTTTTTGACAAATCATTCAAAATCACCTCTTTACGAGGTTAAAAAAAAAGTGACGACGCAACTTCAGCGTACAATAGTAAAAAAATCAATTATTGTGATGAAAAATGGTTTTAAATTCTTAAAAATAAATTCACTATCTTAAATGTATTCATTCGACAAACCACCCAAAACTGTGGCTCCTACACTTAATATAAAATTAACCCTAAAGTCAAGGAAGTATATCTACAATTTAAGGCTAAAAGCCCTAAGAATTTTATTAAAAAAAAAATATTTTTAAAATAAATGACACATTTTTCTACATTTTAGAATCTATTTTTTCTTGTTTAAGACCCTATAAATACGAAAACACTTTCAAAATATGGGATAAATCAAATACAAATTATACATATATACAGCTTTATTATACATTCATAAATAGGTAGGAGAGTGTAGAACAAGGTGACGAGTAGGGTAAGGTGACGAACTCGCCAAATCTCATACGTGACGTTACGTATAAAAATTCCAAATAATTGTATTTGATTTCTCTTATCGTTAACTTTTTTAAGAATTCGCGTAATTTGTTTGTGAGATAATTATACCCGTTACTCGTAGAGTAAAAGGGTATACTATATTCGTCGGAAAGTATGTAACAGGCAGAAGGAAGCGTTTCCGAGCCCATAAAGTATATATATTCTTGATCGGGATCACTAGCCGAGTCGATCTATCCATGTTCGTCTGTCCGTATGAACGCTGAGATCTCGGAAACTATAAAAGCTACAATTCTGGGACTAGGCATGCAGATTCCTGAGATTCCTGCGCAGCGCAAGTTTGTTTCAGCAGAGTGCCACGCCCACTCTAACGCCCACAAACTTCAAAAAATCGTAAATATGATCTCGGAAACTATCAAAGGTAGAGCATTGGGATCTCAGATTTACATTTCCTAGCCTTGTACACAGCGCAAGTTTGTTACGCGAATATGCCACGCCCGCTCTAACGCCCACAAGCCGCCCAAGCCTGTGCCGCAATACAATGAAATGTATTGGTCTCGTCAAT